GGCTGGGCCCGTGAGCCATGGCCGCTGAGCCTGCGCGTCCGGAGCCTGTGCTCCGCAACGGGAGAGGCCACAAAAGTGAGAGGCCCGCGAACCGAAAAAAAAAAAAAAAGTAAAAAAAAAATGATGGCTTAGATATACACTGGTTGACATAGAAAGATATTCTCAATGTATTGGATTGAGTTATTTAAACAGCATGTTATAAAACACTATAAATATTCAAATGTTCTAATCTATTTTACAATGTCTTCATTACTTTTTAGTTACTTTTGTAATAAAATAACTAGTCGTATTGTGGATAATAGATAAATGAGCAAAGTACTGAGATAATTCACAAATGAAGAAATAAAAATGGCCAATAGGGACTTCCCTGGTGGCACAGTGGTTAAGAATCCACCTGCCAATGCACGGGACACAGGTTCGTGCCCCGGTCCGGTAAGATCCCACATGCTGCAGAGCGGCTGGGCCCGTGAGCCATGGCCGCTGAGCCTGCGCGTCCGGAGCCTGTGCTCCGCAACGGGAGAGGCCACAACAGTGAGAGGTCCGCGTGCCGCAAAAAAAAAAAAACCACTTCCAACTGCTTTCCCATGTCATTACAAGTATGTGTCTTAGTCCTCTTAGTTAATTGGCTACGTTTTGTGCTGCTGCCTTCATTACTGATGATAACCTAATGTCCCACTGGAAAATCTTTACTCCACCCAGGGCCACTGATCTAGAGTGGAGAACGAAATCCTGAATTTAGGATTAGACTTGATCTTAGAATGCTTCTGAGAGAGAAACAAAAGGCTAATGATCTAATGTAAATTATATATACTGAACATGGAATATAGCTGTATCCAACAAATAAAACAAGTGTTTAAATACAGACCAGTTTTAGATGATGATCACCAAAGAAAACAGGGCGTAATGATAGAAGAAAGAGAAGGGATAATTTGAAACTAAGCCAGAAAGGAAGAAGAGTGCAGCTGAGATGCTAGGGAAATAAAGATATCTGGGGTTAGGGAGTTAGGGAGCAAGGAACACAAGGCCTTGGCGAGAGAAAGATAGGAGCGGGAAAGGGAAACTCTCAGAAGATTAGGAAGTGTAGGCTGATAAACACGAGGCAGTCAGTTTGGCCTGCAGGCGTCAGCATATTACTATCGTTTTCACTGTCCTCTGAAATGCCATTTATCTGGTGAAACACTCACACTTTATAACTCTTCAGGTGCTTTCCTTTTCTTTCATTAGGACACCTGTAGCAGTCCCCCAGAAGAGAACGATTCTCTAGGGAGCAGATTCAGTGACTAGATTACAGCAGTGGTCCCCTCGGTGGCTGCTGAAATCAGTTCAAGTACCAAATGTCTCCAAGTCTTACAAAATAACAGATTTCTATTTTAACAGGAACTCCAGTTCCTTTCCTCAAAGGAGAAGTTCATCTCAGGCGCTGTGGCAGTTGATAGGGGAGCACAACTTGGGTTTAGGTGGGGTTTGAGTGTTTTTCTCCTGGGAGGAAGGGAGAAGCAAGAGGTGCTTTTAGTCTTTCTCAAGTTAAGACCATAGGTAGCTATATATCTTGCTTACACATAGGATCAGACTCGCCAACCAGGTCTGCCAAACCGTCTTTGACCTTCAGATGTCACACTCCCCCTGTGCACAAGAGGAGAATGCCTCTTGGTCTCTGCGTTGGTTTTCTTGCCCTGTTAACACTCACATCTGATCACACTCTGTCTATAGGACAGTCTCCAAACAGGAAGGGCAAATGTAGTTAAGGAAACCTTGGTAGGATCGTGGAAGAAATGGTCCTATATATCACCTTCCTGGTATTGGGTGGTGAGAAAGGGCCAACTGTGACTTGGGAAGATGAACACAGAAAAAGGTGAGAACAAATGGAGAAGCAAGAAGCAAAACCATTATTCCTCAGAGTCCAGACTCAGTGAAGCAGAAGATGCACTGACATGTCTCATAGGGTCATAAACCACCAAAGCCTATTATCAGTTGGAGAGTTTACTTTCAAAATCTGAGCCAGCTGCTCAGCTACGCTCGGCCATACCCCTCCCCTTGTATCCTCACCCTATTGAACTGGGCTTCCTGGGCATCCATTTATTACCAGATCACTTGGCAGATATAAAACTCAGCGACAATATATCTGCATTCAGTTGTGGGAACACACAGAAACTTAACGTCCCATCAGGAAATTTCTTTTGAATCTGGGGTTACTGGGAGGACTCACAGTATCACTCCTATCGATCTAGACTAAAGAAAAGGCAAGGTCTGGCTTCCCTGGTGGTGCAGTGGTTAAGAATCCACCTGCCAATGCAGGGGACACGGGTTCGAGCCCTGGTCTGGGAAGATCCCACATACTGCGGAGCAACTAAGCCCATGCGCCACAACTACTGAGCCCGCGAGCCGCAACTACTGAGCCCACGTGCCACAACTACTGAAGCCTGCGCACCTAGAGCCCATGCTCCACAACAAGCGAGGCCACCGCAATGAGAGGCCCATGCACCACAGTGAAGAGTAGCCCCTGCTCAACGCAACTAAAGAAAGCCCATATGTAGAAACAAAGACCTAATGCAGCCAAAAATAAATAAATAAATTTATGTTTAAAAAAAAAGGCAAGGTCTTGGAAGAGAGTGGTTGGTGGCACTGAGAATTAATGGAACTTGCCTCCAGGCCTGAGTGTGAAAGAATGAGGTTGCTAGGAGACTTCCCTTACATCTAAGACTAAGAATCATGGACAAACCATTTATATTCAGTGAAGATGGTGCAATTGGACTTTCTCAGAAGGCTCCCTGGGAGGGCACTGTTGTTAGGACAGGATGGAGGAAGGTATTAGGAGTGTCTGCCATTGTCCCAACCTACCGCCACTGTCTTAGCATCCTCAACACTTGAGAGTTCACAAACCCATTTGAATAGACAGGATACCCAAGTTCTTTGACAGCCATTGCTGTCCTTGTAACCAGACATCACCTGGACAAGATGGTTGTGGGGAGAGCCTACACTCTCTTCCTCTCCTCTCCAGGCTGAGGGGAAAGCACACTTGGCTCCTGACCTCAGGGGTTTGCAGTCTCAGCAGCAAGGTAGATGATGACTAGAAAGAATCTACATCCATCCATGCCCAATCCTGTGCTCAGAGAAAGAACTAGAAAGAGCCCCAAATGAAGACTTTCCCTCTGCCTCTTCACTTGGATTTGTACTTCCTAATGTAATCAGGTAGAATCTAACTGAATTTCTCTTTGTGCCTCAGAAGCTGTGAGCCTTTTGAACTAAGGAGTCACACTGGCCCCTATTAGCCTCTAGCTGTTGAAAACCTCAGAATGACCACTTTCCTGCCAAACTGCCCACCCTCCAAGCAGGAGGTATTTGCTTATTTACTGACTCATGATGCCCTAGCTATAAAAGTGTAAAAGAACCTGCAATGACAGCCTCAAAAATAATCCTCTCCCCGTGACAGCAGCTTTGGCAAAATTATCCCTGCAGTGGTTTCACTGAGCTTCAATCCTGTAGCAAAATGGTTGATTTAACTTTTTCTTAATAAATATTCATTAAGCCTGAACAAGTCAATTAAAGCTCTGGTGGCAGCTCTCAAGGAGCTTGAATGCAAGGCTGACAGGGTGAAACAATTTTACAAATATTTCCAAACATTGCAGTCTTCCCCCATGAGATTGCTAGTTTTCTTGAAAGACGGGAAACCCTCTCTAAATCTGGTAAAGCCCTCTAAGGCCCACATTTTCCCCCAATTACAGTATATTCTTATATTCTATAAAATAGAATATAAGAATAAATCTAATAAACTTTAAAACTGGTAGATGTGACAATCCGAGAAAAAAGTAGGCTTGCACTCAAAAAGAGAACCCACAGCACAAATGACAACGAAAAAACAGATGAGTCAGTTTACCGTCAGCTTGTACAGCTGTAAGATGTAGTGAAAAGCTATGACTCTTCTCATCATTTTGGATCCCGGAGTCATAACGTGGTTTTCTTCCACATGAGTGCAAACCAGCTAGTATTATCACCAAAGAAGGAATATGCAAACTAGGAACAAGCTACCCAAACCACTCCCTGAAACATAATATGAGATGATTCTGATCACCCTGAGGGAGATGCTAGGTGGAACCTGGATGGAATGAGAGAAAGAACAGGCAAAAGCTGGGCGGATGTATTCAGTTTACCGAAAGCCAAGTCTGTGCATTTGTGTAGGCGTTCAGAGCACTGTAAGCAGTCCATTCTCTTGATTTCTTTCCTTTACTCTCGCCATCACCACAGAGGGTTGGGCCGCACAGAGAAGACAGTAGGACAGGGGATCAATCACCACCATAAGCCTAGTCACCCAATCCAGAAACCTAGTAATCAACCTTATCTGCTCCTTCCCTCATCCTTACCCTCAGCCAAGTCCTAATGACTCTACTCCCTGAAATCCATCTACTTCTAAGAATCTCTACTTTAGTTTGAGCTTGAAATACTTTCTAGATGGCTTAATGCAATAGCCTCTTAGTTTTTCCTCCTTTTCTAGTTTTTAATCCCTTTAATTCACCCTCTGCACTGCAGCCAGAATGATTTTTCTG